TATCTTCCCCCTTTCAATCGTATTGATTCTGTCTGAGTGTGATCATTATCCTTGCTTCAATGGTTTTTTTTAAGGTCAATTATTTGTGTTTTAACTGGGCATTTTCCTTCACATAGTTCAAACATTTGGGTTTCATAATTATTAGCTTTTTCTCAATCGATGAAAAATTTCAGATCGCATCTCTAGTATAACATCTTTAATTAGATTTTTTAAGGAATGTATCATCTTTCGTAATTACATTTTCTAGCTTTTTGTAATCTGTTTCAACTGTTCTGCAACATCATAATTATTGCTTTCAGCCATAGTTTCAATTGTTGTGTCTAATTTTGTATTTTTTGAATCTTCGAATGTAGTAATTGTCTTTTGTTTTTTTTATATTAAAACTTGTCTCTAAATTACTTATGCTACTATTACTCGATCTATTCCTATCTCTTTTATTTCGATTTTTTTTACCCATTTCAGAAATGTATTTTCCATACTTTTTTAATAATAAAAAAAACAAATCCCTGTGGTATTTAACAAATACTGGTCAATACACAAATTCCTTTCTATACATCTATTGTTCCATTGTTTGCTTAGTAAAGCTATACAGCACTATCACATTAGATACATATTAGCAGTTAGTTCAGTATTGCTGTTTGTCTACCTTAGTGTGTAAAGCTATGGATCTATGCTTGACAAATAGTTTATATAGTCATTTTTCTCATTTCTTAATTAATAGTAGCTATTAAAATTAATTACCATTGATTCTCCATACAATAGTCCAATAATAGTCCAATATTTTCCTCCAACAAAATAAAAAAAAACACAGTTATTCCAATTTTATTTCTATTTTTTAACCCACTCACAAAAACATGCACATACATCAAGGGACATCACTCTATCTTCAATCTTGAAACCTGTGACATCCGGTTATCGTTCTGTTACAAAATGAAATGACAAAGATTTTTTTCATGCAAAATATTTACCTTCTGTTTGTTATAGAATTGACAAAAAGCATATTATTTTTATAGTACTGCACGTTTGTAACGTCTCTTTTCATTGGATAATCGTGACGTTTTATATATTTTTCTATACACGATTTCTGTCCATTTATGAAGAAATCTCACTTCTTTCTCTAAAAATTGTTTTCTGTATTATAAATGTGTCCGTATATAAACGGTTGTTTGCCATATAACACTTGCCTAGCGGCTCGGGCTATATATCCACACTACCATTTATATAGGGCAATATAAATTGTCAAAAATCTTTATAACTATTGTAAAAACCGTTACTGTAACATCAAAATGTTTCGGCGATAATGTAAATTTTTAAAGATCTCGTTTTACCTGCAAATTTGTTATATTTAATCATTTCAGACAATATACATGAAAATTGTTTTAAATTAATGCTTGTGATTTGGCTACTATTATATTACATGTACCCTCCACCTATAACAATTTATTTCATTTACCAAATAAGAGTTAAATGTTACTCTTGCATTGGTTGACCTTTTCTTCACTACCAGGATATTGGATATAACTTTCTCATAACAACAACCACAACAGTTTCTCTCTTTAACCCTACAAACAGTTTATCGGCTATTTAACACCTATTTGTCGTATTGATCCGATGCGGAAAAAAACTCTTAAGTCTTTCACATCCTAATTGATGTTAAACAGCCGAACAACAACGCAAAGAGTATCATTCACAGAGCGATATTATTGCTAAAAATGTAATAAAAAAACAACATTTTGCTTTACAGGAAGGGTGAGAACTCTGGCCGACATATACAAAATAATGTAACATAGCAACATAGAATTTATAACAACAATCGTCACCTTGATATTTGATCAGTCATAACGTTTAACAAAATTTAAATTTATTTCTTTATTTAGTCTCATCTTTACATGTATACCTCAAATTACATATAAAACGTTAAACACAAACATAAAATACATGAAAAGCCATTCTAAAAGAATTGCAAGAGACTTTTTATTTTTACTGTTACTGTTTTATGCACCGAGGAGTTTTCCCCCCTAGCTACACAATTATCATTCATTAAAAGGTTGCTGTATTTTAAAAAATATGACCTCAATATATTCAAACTATTGCATGTTTTTCCTACAGAAGGTTACATTGTGGTGCAATGAATGAAACGATACTAAAATGTTTAAATGCTAATGGTAAGAAGCAAAATTGACTATTATAAATTATTTAACGATAATTTCAAAAGTCTATAGATAATGCTTGGCGTTCTATTTACACGTACTTATTGATATTGATATTTTATTCTGTATTTATATATTTGCAGAATTACGTACATACTTTTAAATGGACTAGCAGTATTATTTTTCACCTGTAGAAATTTAATAAATGAAAAAACTTTCTTTTTCAAAATCATGCAAATTTGAGAGATCTTCCAATAACAGTAAACAGATTCATGTAGAGCAATATTGGATCGCTCCGTTCATTTCTATTTTTGAATTTAATATTTAAAATTTTTAAACTAACAATAAATTAACACGCTGCCACTTCACAAATAAACTAAACAAATAGACTAGACGATACAGAAGAACCGTTAGTGAACATACAAACAAATTGTGATAAAACGTCATAAAAACGAAACTTGCTAATTATATTTCTAGAATGCGTAATAAATGTAAACAATTAGGTACATGTTTGTCATATAAATATTTTAGAGACCCCCTCCCCTGGCTGCATAGACTGGATTTGCTTCTACATATTCATATTAAACATATTTACAAAAGTGAAAGAGGAGAAACATATCCTTATGCTATTTTAAAATACAAATACATAGCGGAGAAAATGATAAACATGACATACCAAAGGTGTGTTAAAATTTCAACTGTTTTGAATTGTCAAATACATTGAAATATCAAATGTTTGAAATAACAAATTGAAGAAAAAAAAAATAGTCAAATGTATTGACATTTAATTATATACGTATGTCAAGTGTAAAATATGGCACAATGCTTGATATGACCTATTTTTGAAATGTGTAACTTTTCAAAGTATTGATATAAAGAGAATGTCAAATGTTTCGGAATGTCAAAATTTAGAAATAATATCGGTCCGAGCGGTGTTTATCGACTATTTAACACAGGTTTTGAGTTTTTATGCGTAGAAATTAAGCACGAAGGCCGTAAGGCTAAAATAGAAAAAAATAAGGAGAAGATCACTAATGCAATTTTTTCAACGCAGATTACTTCCGGTGCCGATTTTCGTATAACCTTGTTTATTTTGCACCCTATTATTGCTCAAATATAGACATTATTAAGCAAAAAATATACTTAGATAAAAAGTTATTTTATCAAGTTTTCAACAATGAAAACTTACGTCATTAGACTAGATTATATTGTGTGTACATCAGTGCTCAATTAATCATTCTAGGCGCAAGAATGACGTCATTTTAAACTAATATAAATGATCAATACATCGTATTGTATGCAAAAGAAGCAATTAATTATTGAGTTATAATTCATACCATCGTTATTCATTTCAAACACATATCATAAATAATCAATGACCTTATTACTATCAAACAGCCTACAAACAAAATGTAAATTTATGTTTTCTTTTTTCGAGACGGATTAATACGCTTGCCTTTTATCTTTGGCCTTAACCTTTTCTTTAAGGTAAGTAAATCCATACATAACACAAAACTTCCTAAAGAACAAAGGACTATTACAGCTACACTTCCCATCACTTTTGAGGACGTTCTTAAGTCAGAGGCACACTTTGACTTTGATCGTTCAAGTGAAGTTGATTTTTCGTCAATTTTAATATCGTTTACAAGTAGTGTGATAATTTCTTCTTTCGTCATATTAACAAATGTTTTATTAAAGTAGCAAATACACGGTGCAATAAACAGCTTTGGTAATGGCGCATGTGTACTTGTTGTGGTCAACGAAGCTGTCGATGTGGTCTTTGATGTTGATGGTGTTACCGACGAAGCTGTTGTTGGTGTAGTTGATGATGATGATGATGGCGACGACGATGATGATGATGATGATGGCGATGATGATGGTGATGATGGAGTTGATGATTGAGATGATGGTGATGTAGGTGATGGTGATGTAATCGTTTTCGTTGTTGTTGGCGTCGTTGGTGTAGTCATTGCTGTAGACATCGTACCTTTAAAATAAATATTGTTGTTTTTTATGCTATTTTGAATGATCATTTCAGTAACAATAGACAAAAACACTGTCGTAGGTTTGTTTGTTAAATGCGTGTCCGTCCTTTGTTTTATCATAAGTACCTTCTTTGTTTTGTATTTCCAGTTTTTAAACACATTTGTCATACATTTATTTTCGATTATTTGGCGTAAAGGAAAACACGCAAAATAAAAACATCATACAATAAAAACAATAATTATAATAATAATAATAATAATAATAATAACAACAACAACAACAATAATAATAATAATAAAATTAATAATAATTATAATAATAATAATAATTATAATAAAAATGTTTATAAACATAATAATAATAATTTAACAATGCAGAAGAAGGTGACTAGGCAACCTTGAAGGTCATTTAAGAACTAAAAGTCGCAGCTTATCTGTAAGTAGTGCACACTGGACGAGTTTAAAAATCTCTTGACGATCACTTAAATCACCAGTGTAAAAAGAATTCAAAAGCATGTCGCAATATATCGTCGGTTACCCTCAATATATATTCCGTACATACTACATTTTCTTAATGTAAGATATATATTTCGTGGGTTACCATGATGGTCGCAAGCAATAGTATAATAAAACTACATGGTTATATTTATAATGTCAAAAGAGTTGTAAATAGAAAAAGAGTGTAACAACTAAGCAATCAATGTTATATAATAAAGCAACGTATTTTGTTTTAATTATTACATGTATAGAAAAAAGACGTTTTTGAAAAAAGGTTGAAGTACATTAAATGGATGGGGTAATTTGCTTAAGTTAGTTACTTTTATAAAATAATGTTAACGTGTTTTATTTACGTCGTGCATAATGAAATCGTATTTTTTTTTATTCTGAAAAGTATTTGTTTACATAAAAATAATAAATGTTACGATTTATGTTTATAGAACAATAAATATCAATACAAGCATAATTACTTTCTTTTATAGATATTTTAAAACAAACCTGTTTGCTGGTTTCCGCAATACTTCTTATAAACGCTATAAGTTTCCGTGGCTGGTTCCATGCTGCAAGTATTCTGACAACCGGTGTACACGTTACACACTTTGTCGACAGTTTCATACGATATAGTACATCCCACGCTATTTGAAAGACAGTGAGCCAAACATTCCCACATTTTTGGGCCGTTAACACTAATGAAAGTGGTTTCCATTGCTGATACCGTAGTATAGTTTGTTTGAGTGAGCGTGTAATCTGCACATGCTATGGAATTCGATGAGAAAAAGAAAATTTTGAAAAACTTTGTATCTTTCTCGACATTAAAGACAGTTGAGTAATTTCTCTAATCAGCATTGATCTAAACTCGTGCAAATCCCCCCCTCAAAGTTTTATTTTATGATTTGAAGTTAATTTAATCAGAGAAATTATCAAATCATATTGCATAAAAAATGTTGCAAGAATTTAGTATAACTTCTGGTCAACCAATTACGGAAGCCCATGAGTACCATTTTGTCTTAGGACTTTTGGCTTTATGACTTATGGCTTATGTCACTAATGGACTTCCGGTACAATAGATAAGAAAATTTAATATACTTCTTGAGATTTAAATTGAACTAACGCTGTCAAGGCCAAATGACGACTTTTCAGCTCTCCTGTTTGAAAAAAAACTTCAGATGCATATTCGTGCAATAGCTCAGACAAGAACGGTATAAAACTTCGCGTTAGCTGGCTAGATGTTTACATCGTGAGAAATGATATCAAGTCTTCGGCAGGATTAAAACCCGCATTGGGAAAATGAGGTAACTTAAGCAAGTGGAGCTTCTCGGTCAGGGAGGCACCTTGTTAGAAATAGTCTTGTACCAAAACAATTACTTAATACACCACTATGGAAAAGACTCAAATAATACGTTAGTATAATTGGCATATGCTTTGCATCAAAGTCAGTGTTTAAATTTTAAAAATGGCACTCATTATCTCTGGGGCCTCCGTGGCCGAGTGGTTAAAGTCGCTGACTTGAGATCTCAGGTCCCTCACCACTGTAGGTTCGATCTTCACTCGGGTCGGATTCTTTCAAGTGAGGAAGCCATCCAGCTGGCTAACGGAAGGTCGGTGGTTCTATCCAGGTGCCCGCTCGTGCCTGAAATAATGCCCGGAGGGGCACCTGGGGTCTTCCTCCACCAATATAGCTGGGAAAATATCGACGAAAAATCTCGGCGGGACGCTCTAGGATGGCCCGACTTGAGTGTACGGTCTCCCAAATGGGCTTTCCGGCGGCGACCTTTAATAAACGCATCAAAATAAAATCTGTGAAATAGCTACATATCGTGAAGCATTTGTTCTTCTGTCGTTCTTGAATTTTGACAAGAACCAAATCGAAGACAAAACAAACAAACAAAAAACAAACAAACAACAGGTTAATTATGTTTGCGATTTGTGAATGCAGTTCAAATCTAATCATATAATAGCTGTAGTTGTATATATTTACTTTTTTTGAAGCAGATCCAACATATTTAAATTCTCCCCAAAAATCGTATTTTTACCAAATGTGAAAATATACCTGTGTAACTGTTAGGTATTTTTGGAAGATTCGTAGTAAGTGTATTTACCGGAAGTGTCACAGGTTTTTCGATGAATAACCGATCCAGCTTTGTATTCAATTTTAATATCTTCGCAATTGCTCTGTCGACAATATCCCGTTGAATAGACATATTCTACCGACCATATAGTTACATGATTTGTGAGCGCCAGCAGGCAATCATCCTCGGAAATGTTGTCGTATTCATTTTGTGTACAGCCTGGTACAACTGCGCAGTTGTAACATGTCTTGATGTTGCTCGGACATGTCGGATCACCGCCAAAAGTCACGTGTGCTGAAAAAAAAATCAGGTCACTTATCTATAACATAAGATGTTTTCTACGTTTCTGCTACATAATGTTGGACAAAGTATTATGGTGTAAAATTCTATTTTTGGAAATCTTCCAAATTCAAAGAAAACTTTTGTAGCAAATCTGTCTTTTTCTTTTCCAATATTTGCTTTTGCAGTGGGGTTGTGTCTATGCATTTGCATCTATATCCTTCATTCCCCAAGCCAGCCCAATTCATCCCAACCTTACCTTATTTAACCTACCTTCCATCAAAATTTGATCAGCCTTTTCTTAACCTGTCGGCTTTAGATTTTTGTGCTTTATGAAATGCGAAATAGTCTGTCTGGGAAAAAAACCGATCTAGTCTAATAAAAATAGATAATCAATATTTCGTAAATACGAATCATTTTCGAATAAATGAATTAACATTTTGTAAACAGTATGAATATTTCGTAATTACGAATTGGTATCTCGTTAAAACGAATCAAGTTATCGTGCAAAAGGTGTGAAAATGTCACATTCGGGGCTCCGTGAAATTCCTTAAACAATTGTCAACATGTTTCATACAGTCAACATAAGTTAACACATGCATTTAGCAATATGTTAGGTTTAAGCTCATTTTATACTTTGCTTATTTTTCAAATATTTTTACACAATAAAAGTGTTCAATAACATTTTTATTGAATTTGAATTTCGTTGTTTCTTTTATTCAAATTTATGTTTTAACCTACTTATCTTGGAATTAAAGAAGTAAAGTCAACCGATTTTTTTCAGTCGCTTTATCATATCATTCAATATTTGATATAAAACATTAAATTATCGACTTACTTCGGCCTTTTTTGTAATATGCTTTACTGAAACTAAGAAAGACGTGTACAAATATGCACTGCTATTTATTTAACAATTGGTCTAATTCATGTTATTGTTTCGTACCATTTGAGGTAATGTCCTCGATTCCATTATTTGATCTATCAGTTAACCGATATATTACGAAAAAACTACGTGTATGATTTCAGATTAAGGTAGAACGCAACATTTTGCGAACTTTCGAGTAGCGTTTTGAAAATTGGCATGCAAAAAGTTGACCCTATCTCTGATTAGATTCTGTTGATTTCATTCAAATAGTTTCAGCTTATTTTCGTACACACAACGTCAAAGTTGACCATCAAAGCCCGTTTTTGAACATACCGTCGTTGCGTATCGTTGAAAACTGTTACGGTATCACCATGTCACAGGCGTACAAAATATCTTAAATTTTACAGCATGATATAAAATTTAGCGTCAAACGCTGAAAAATGTTTGAAAAATGGGAAGAAAATTGTCAATAATTTGACGTTCAGTTAAGTCTCAGCTTTCGGCTTTAAAGCAGCTTATTAAAAAAATCTTGCAATAAATATTTGATTTTTTACTTTAAACCTCCTTTAAAGTCTATACTTGGTCAAAATGACCAAAACACTAAGGGTCACTGACTCAAATTTTTCGCTACACGTGATTTTATCTCCCCCAGCAATTGAGTAATTTTGTAACGAAATACGACATATGTAGATACATTTGAGACTTTAAAGTGAGGTGATAATGTTAAGCTTATCAGTAGAATTATTTTAGAGTTTTACTTGTCCTCAATATATAAAATTTACAACAACAATGAAGTGGCAAATGCTTAAAATTTAGAAGGAGACCATACGATGAAAAAGCATATGTATATTTATTTATTTATCCTGGGATTTTTTTGCGTTGGAATTTTGCTTATTCAGAACATACGCGATATTTGGTACAAGAACGACGCAATTTCAGATAGATATATAGTTGATTTGACGAACAGAAACAAAGACTGGAACACAGGCTACTAAAGCCAAATACAGGAACATTTCAATATAACGTGTTACTTGGGCAATAAAAAAAACTATCAGCCGTGTGTGAAACTTGCCAGATATGTAACAACAATTGTCTAGATAACTATCATGAACTTGGTCGAAGTGAAATTTTATTGAATTCATTATCGCTTTTCCATTTTATGACGTTAATGTTTGCTAAAATATGTACGAAAAACGAACTAAAAGAAAAATATTGTGTTGTTCTCAAATCCTACACCCACCCATCACACCCCCCCCCCCCCTTCCTAATTAATAGGAGGCATGAACAGACGAGGTTTTAAATAAACATACTCTATTGGATTAATCGTTTTAAGTATTTTTATGACAGAGGTTTGCCCTTGTCCGTCAGTGCGTGTGTTCGTTCCAAAGTAGTATTTTGTATATACTAGGGGTATGAGCTGGAGGTACTAGTTACATCTGCTGCCATGGCTACGTGTCATACACCTACACAGGTTATATTTTACAATGTACTTTAAATGTGGAATATAAAATATAAATGCTGTTCCATATATACAGAAAAATATCTATTTATCTTATAATAAGTACTAAACTCAATTTTGTATAACCCATCAATGACACTGATTATCAAGTGAGACAGTTTCAGATTGAGGTAGTCAATTGGGGTGTATTTCGATAAATTTACCTACCGGTGTAAACAAACGCCGAATAACTATGAATAAATTAATTTATTATTATTACGCACAAAAAATAATACTTAAAGTTTTGCGATTCTTTATGATAATGTTGCATTTTAAATATATTAATTTTCGCAATTCATATCAGCTCTGGAGAATCTTTTTGTTTGATCAAAAAATATCGTTCATTTTCATAGAAAACAGAAAAGCTACGGCAAATAAAGTACGAGTGAGTAGTAATCGAATGTTTTAAGTAAAGGCTGAAAAACAAAAAGTTGGGTTTGTTGTTAATATTATAAACAAAATAAATTGTACATGAAATCATATGTACTGTATATTTTTGTATTTTGATATATCTTTGTTTGGTCATAACGTTGTGATATTTAGTTTACGATTGTATAAATATTTTTAATACAACTTTATTCTTAGAGACAAGTAAACTAAAGATTACGAATTTGTCCTTAAATTTCATAACAGCCAGTCTTTCCACCAATGAAAAACACCCTCTTTTAGCTGAAGATTTTGTACCTAACAATTTCATTTGTTACAAATCTAGGTCAAAATCCATTTTAATACAGCTACGCCGAAAAAGTATTTGACCAAGAGTCATGTACCATTACAGAAATGATGGTCAAACAGTTTGACACACACATTGTTTGACGTCATCACAAGACAAGAACTATACTTTATACTTTAATTTTTATTGTAAAATATGGGCAAGTAATGCGGTAAGCGTTGTGTAAGATATATCTTATACACAGACGTATAAAAATTAATTTGCAAAATGTAGCGTTTATCAATTACATTCTACAGGTGCGGTAA